AGTGGAAAATAATGTATTTTCAAAGTCACATAGATCTGGTGAATAAATCCCTTGAGTCAAGCTATATAATAGAATTTTAAATATCCTCCATTTAGAAATTCAGGGGGCTAAACAAAGAATAGTGATACATTGCTAAAATGTTGCCTGTAGTCAATGGGAAGTAAGACAAGCCATAAAAATGGTTTAAACCACATAACCATCATCAAACTATTAAAATATAAAATGTGTTATAGACTTTTCACTGGTATTGAATCTTGCTCTAGTTATTAGTGATAGACCATTACTAGGAATTTTGACAAGCAATATGCCTAATTAAAAAATTATTTTACAATTTATCAGATCAAGAGGAAAGACAACCCATAACCTCACTCAGTCAGGTTAACAATTTGTTATCTCATGTAAATCTAAATTGTGACAAAAATAATTATGTATCAGACTTCCGTTTATGCCATCTATCTATTTCTTAGGAAAACAGTTTGCTGGAAAAGCATTTCACTTGTTCTTGTCATCTGCTTCCCTGGTTTGATACTGAGTGATTTTTTCCATACTCAGAAGAGACATTTTTCAGTAACCCAAATGATCCTCAGCCTGGTTGTAAATGGGCCGGGCAGTAAGCTCCATGAGGCCAAGGGTTGTACCCTTGTACCAAGCACAGTGCCTTCTCTGGAATACAGAGGTGCTCACCTCGTATTTAGGGGTATACCTAGTTTTTAGTAACATAGAGGTGCTCACCTAGTATTTGCTGAATGAATGAACAGTGAAATGACAATTAAATTCAGTTAGACAAAATTTTGGAATTAGACTAGAAGTAGTTCTAAAATTCTACTTGTTTTTGTTTCAGAAAATCAAGTGGCTTCCTTCAGCCCTCTGCCTAATATGTATGTCATGTTACATCATGAGCTATGAAATTCTTTTCTTTCACCCAAGGGTGTGGATCTTATGACCAGAGTTCTAAATTGGCAAACATATGCTAAAGATGGTCAATGTCCTTTATCTTCAGTCATTACCATTGGGCATGATTCACTGTTGCTTTAAGCAAACTGCATGACTATAAATGCACCTCAAGGGTTTTATTTTGTTTTGTTTTTTACATAATTTCAGATACTAACAGGAAAAAAAAAACTTAATGAAACATACTGTGGTACGTTGGAATGACGGACTTGACGCCAGACAACATGGATGAAGCCAGGTTCTGCTATTCGCCAGTGACCTGTGTCAACTTGAAAAAAATGCATAACCTCTCTGGTCCTTTATTGATAAACAATACCTAATTCAGAAGGCTGCTGTGAGGATTAACTTCAAGAAGAAACTATAAGTAGGGGCGCCTGGGTGGCTCAGTCGTTAAGCGTCTGCCTTTGGCCCAGGTCATGATCCCGAGGTCCTGGGATCGAGTTCCGCATCATGCTCCCTGCTGGGCAGGGAGCCTGCTTCTCCCTCTCCCACTCCCCCTGCTTGTGTTCCCTCTCTCGCTGTGTCTCTCTCTGTCAAATAAATGAATAAAATCTTAAAAAAAAAGAAACTATAAGTTACTTTACATACATAAGGCTTTTTTTTCCCCCTATTCAAATTCCAAGAGAAAATAGTTGAGTTGTTGGCTTTCCCCAGCCTGTGTCTACATGAGAGTAAGACTGTTTTGACAAGAAATTAATGAGAACAGACACTTGGCATATACTCTCCTTGTTACCAGATCTAGTCACATCAGGACAATGCTTGATCTAAATGCTTGCCTCAAAGCGGTTTTGCCAGAGTGGAGAAATTTCTAGTGGAAATATTTAGAGACAAATTAGATCAACTCCAGGGACTCACTTAATTATGTCACTCTTGTATTTGTGATCCAACCCAAGACATTTATCCACGTGTCCATTTCCATACTTTCATGATTGACCTCAGTCTTTGAGCTAAGATGATCTTACGGCCATTTGCACTGGCTATTAAGATAGCTAGAAGAATCAAATTAACCATTCTTGAGATCGTGTTATTTTGACTTCATTCAAATAGTCTCTACTCACTGACGTTTGTCCTTGGTCACTGGGCTAGCTCCTGATGTGTACCCTTTCCCAGTAGCAGAAACCTCCAGTGCGCCTGAAGGAACCAGTCTACGTCCCCGTCATTCATGCAGTGCTTCTTAAACTGGGGATATATTTTTCAAGGGGTCCAAAAGAGGTATATGAAGTCATAAGAGTATCAATTTTACTAGTTGGTAAGCAATATAAAACATCATTTCTTTTATATTGAAACATATGGAGTAAAATGCAGCATTTACATGAATTTTAATGTAAAAATAAGACTTCAAAAGAATTCTGTGCTTGGTATATCTGCAGACCATTTTAGGCATACACATGTTCATTCTCTGCGTTAGCTGCAGTTCATTGAAAACGTTTAGGAAGTGCTGCAGAAGTGCATTCTGGGAGCCTTCGGTTCCCAAACTGCCTCCCTGTGAAACAACAAAGTCAGTTTTTTTTTTTTTTTTTTTTAGAGGAGCATTTTATTTTTCTCCTAGCTGAAGACTTTTGGCTCAGAGGGGCTAAGAAGAATGGAAGGTTAAGTTTCCCATAAAATGTTCTTGAAAATTCTCTGAAACTTAAAAAATATTAAAGGAAAGAAGTTTTTAGGGAAAATGCTTCCAGGGTGGAATGTCTAGGATTCCTTATCTAGGTAGGATTTCTAACATGAAGCATTCTGGAGCGGGTTCTTAGTAGAAAGCCTAATGGACACTGAAAGTGGGCATTACTGAACTATCAGGGCAAAAAGACAAATCCACCTGTGCAGACAGATAAATGAAAAAAAATTGAGATTCAACAATACAGAGACATTAGAAAATAATTGTTTTGTTAGACTATGTCAAGAAAATGATTTTCATGACTTATTTGCTATTCATCTAACAGCAGACACACCTGTTTGACTTGAAAAACTACATGTAGAAAATTCGAACACTCTAGATTTACAAAAACAGATCAACATTTCATTTTAGACACTGAAATAAGTATGAGTACTGTAAATATCAATGGTTAATGACCATAAACCCTTAAAGGTTATGTCTTGAGACAAACATGAAAACCATTAAGAAATTCTAAGCACAGTGAAAAAGAAACATTTAAAATTGTTTTTAGCAGTAAGGATGCTTGGATTTCAACTAAGATCAAAACTTGTTTTCTTATCTGAGATATAATGACCAGATTCTGTTAATAAATGTCATTCCTAAAGCCTTAAACTCTAAACATTTGGGTTGTCTTCTGCCAGTGTTATCGTAATTTTAAAAATAGAATACAATTTAGAATTTGTTTTTTCTTTAAACAAAAGTTGTGCTTTAAATTTGGTCTGGAATTTTCCCAACTCTTTCCATGAACTACACACACACACACACACACACACACACAAATACACACACACACACGTACAAAATGCATTATGCTGAGGCAAAACTTGGGACATTCCTGAGAGACCAAGCTATCGTATTAATTTGAAGTCTTAAGGGAGCTGAGAAAGAGTTTTGTCTTGGGTTCATTGGGGTAAAACCGAGACTAAGAGGTTTTCAACGCTTATCCAGAATGACACATCTAGTAGTTGCAGATCTGGAACCAGAGCCTTCGTTTCCTGTGAAGCAAAATGGATTCGACCGACCTGGGCTCTTAGCACAGACTTCACCAACGTGTCTTAACTCCTCTGGATTTCAGTGTTTTCAGTTGAAAAGGCTGGAGTGGCTTTCAACAAAGGTAGTCCTGACGATGCTTGGGGACGTTGGAAACGTGAGGGGGTGTTTCTAGCTGCTGCAGTTAGGGGCAGGTGCCTACTGGCCTCTGTGGGGCTCCTGAAGCGGTGGTGTCCCCTCCCCCCACTGGGAAATATTGGGCAACCCGTTACCAGCCTAGGGCTCTTTTTATGGTAACTCATTTCTGAACCCAACTAACCATACAAGGTGTGGCAGTCTCACTTAAATAGCTTTGCTTTTAGTTTGTCAAGTCACTTTTTGGAATTCCCGTTTTGGCATATCTGCATTCTATCTTCAGTTCTTTAGATAGAAAAGTTTATGTTGGCTTCAACTGGAAAATATCGTCATCTTTCGATGGTCAACATACAACTGGAAAAAAAAACAAAAAACAAAAAACCTAATTTCCAAATGTGGAGTGACACTTAAAAAAAAGTTTAGTTGTATGATACAACCTTTGACATATTTTCAGGCTTTTAGGCTGTGGCAAAATTAGATACATAATTGGCAAAATTTCAAGCTTCAATTCCAAATTTGCCGATATCTGGTCATTAAATCTTGCCTATTTTCATGATTTATAAAGAAAACCACAAGTGCCACAACTAAGCAGAAGCACAAAAGAAAAATGCACCCTATAAACTACATCACAATAAAAATACTGTATTCCTTTAAACAAATGTACTTTTAAGAGCTTTATAACCCAAAGCAAGATATGTGAGATGGTTTAAGAAGAGGTTGCAATTTTGCAACAAGAAGTCTGTACAGCAACTCCAGGCAGTAGCTGCGAAGGAAGTAGCTGTGTCTCAGAAACTTGTTTCCATACGTTCTTGACAATTTTGCATCCCGGGTCCCATTATTTACAAAGTACGCATTTTGCAAGCTCAAAGCACCTTGGTCCTCGAAATTACCGAATGCATGCAATGACATTTCATCCTTTCATGTGCAAATTCTAAAATTCATTGTAACAGAAAAAAATTAAAAGTTGGAAATCTGTCTACAATTCGAAATGAAAGGATCAAAAATGTCAGACATTGCCGAATACTGGTTCCTAATAGAGCTCTCTTTATTTGTTCACTGTTCCTCAGTCATTTTTGTTTGTTACAAAATGCAGTCTTGACTCTTTATTTAAACAGTACTTAAACTAAACTGTTCATGCCATGCAAAAATAACATTTTATGCACTTTTTTTGTGGGGGGGGGCTTCCCATGTTTTTAGTTCACAGGCATTATTACCGCATTTTTAAGAAACAAGTTTTTATTATTATTATTATTATTATTATTGCTTTTGTAACTAGTCACATGCTGGTTTCACGTGTGGGACAATAACCTGTGTCTCCTGGGTTGGAATGAATTTCTGGGGCAAACAAGTGGTTTTCCATCTTGCACCCTTCTTGACTATTGTCCTTTTTTACTTCCGCCACAGCATGGTAAATGTCTTGCCTACAGTTGTGACTTGGGTCCTGCGGGGAGGAAGAGCCCACACAGGCCTCCTCTCTCAAAGGGTCTCTTCCATCACTAGGCTTATCTGCAAAGCAGTTTGGGCTGGAGTCGGCCTGCTTGTCCTGCCTGGGCCCCTGCAGCTCTAAGAAGTCATCGTCGTCGCCAGTGTCTATTTCCGTGAAGCTCCTCCTCTCTCTTGTCGAGAAAGGAAAGAGTTTCTGCTTGGGAAACCTAGGCGTCAGCCCTTTGGAAGGTCCCTGACAGTGTGCGGGAACCTCGGCGCCCAGCAAGGCTCTGTCTCCCTGGGAGGGGGTTTCCTCGAGGAGGATGGTGCTGATGAGCTGAGGGGTGGCGAGGGAAAAGTCCGCTGTCGTGACCGGCAGCGGCCTGGCTGTGCTGGGCGGGGTCTGTGGGGCACTGCCTCTGTTTTCCTTAAAGTTCACTTTGAGCGACCTGGATTTTAGGGGGTTGCTGCCTTTCAGCGAACTCTTAGGGCTCTCGGAGGTACCGTCCGACGGCAAAGGGCCGTGGAGCCCACTTTGGTAAGCGCTGTTATCGAGGCTCACAGTTCCGTCGACCGGAGCGTATTCCAGGATGGCATCCCTAGCCCCGGGCCCCTTCTCTCTGCTTAGTGTTAGAAACGGGGGCCCCCTGGCTCTTTGGCGCTCTTCAGTTGCCGTGGGGTCAGGCGGGAACTTCATCTGCAGGTGGGAGGCGGACAGCGGCGGCAGGGGCGACCGCTCGGTCTCCGTGAAGTCGGTGGCGCAGCTGGTGAAGCTGTCTATGCTGGACGTGCTCTTCATGTCCACCACGCCCTCGGTCTGCGCCACAGCCAGCTGCTCCTGTGGGCAGACCACTTCTTCCATTTCTATCTCCTCCTCGTACACCGAGGGCCTCTCGGGCGGCTCCTGGCAGGCCGGGTGCGGCTGAGCGGGAGGCTGTGTCTTGGTGATCTCGTTGTACAGCATCTCCAGTTTCTGCGCGCTCAGGTGCTGCGGGCTGGAGGAAGAAGTGTTGTTCAGCTGCTCGTGGGAGTCTTTCTGGCTAACCTCCTGGTACTTATTCTCGAAAGATTTGTTGGAGCTTGTTTCCGACAGAGCTTTCCTGGCCCACTTCCACCGGCTCGGGGACAGGTGATTATCATCAGCCGAGTCCTTGGTACTGGCTGACTCTCCTGCCTTCTCCACGGCCACATCTATCAGTTCCATGCTCCGGGCAAAGGCATCTTTTAAGTTCATAGAAACAATGCTTCCGTTCCTCTTGGCCCGCTCAAGGGCCTCTCTCCTTTTAATTGCCTTCTCCTGGCGTTTCTGCTCCTTGTAAAACTCAGAGAAATTATTCACGATGATTGGGATGGGAAGGGCAATAACCAGGACCCCGGCAATGCAGCAGAGGCCTCCCACGATTTTCCCTAATAATGTCTTCGGGTAAATGTCACCATAGCCCACAGTGGTCATGGTGATGGTGGCCCACCAGAACGATGCTGGGATACTGGTGAACTTGGTGGCATCTTCATCCTTCTCAGCAAAAAATACCAGGCTGGAAAATATCATTATCCCCATGGCCAGAAATAAGATCAGTAAGCCCAATTCGTTGTAACTCCGTCTGAGGGTGAACCCCAGGGACTGCAGGCCTGTGGAATGTCTGGCGAGTTTCAGGATCCTGAGGATGCGCATGATCCGGAAGATCTGAACCACACGCCTCACGTTCTGGAACTGCAGCACGCTCTTGTTGGACTCCGTGAGGAAGATGGTGACATAATATGGCAAGATGGCCAGCAAATCAATGACATTTAGTGGGCCTTTAAAGAACTTCCACTTATTTGGTGAGGACAGGAAGCGTAAAAGGTACTCCATGGTAAACCAAGCGATGCACACAGCCTCCACATGTGCTAATTGGGGGTTGTCGTTGGGTTGTCCGAATTCATCCATTGCCTGCAGCTCTGGTAGAGTGTTGAGAGACAGAGCGATGGTGGAGAGTACAATGAACAGGATTGACACAATGGCCAAGATCTGGAAGAGAGAAGGAAGTCCAAGTTAGCAAATGCTCTTCGTGGCTTAGGCAGCTGGCAGACACATGGATTCGCGGTTCTTTCAACAATGTGAATTGCTCAAAGATATTCCAGGAAGGTAACTCTACAGCCTAAAATGCCCTAACTAATGCAAACACATTCACTTTTTATGAGTTCATCTCATTTAGAAGCCCAGTGTAGCACCCATTTAAATTCCGGGGGCCTAAACAATTTGGAAAAAAAAAAAGAATCCATCCCTCACCCCTGCCTTTGTTCTCGTGTGAGTAACCACCTTTTGCAATCGCCTTGGGGAGCAGTCTCCCTTCTCTTAGTTTTGTTATTTTTTTCTCTTAACCACCTGGTTTGTGTTTCTTGAAGTGAATCACCTGACATGCCACATATGCTAGGCAGAATTCATGGTTTCTAGGAGTTTTGTTCTGCAACTAAAACCACATATGCAGACCTACACACGAGAGATAATATAGCACTCGGTACAACCGTGCTTCTCGTACAACAAATACCATTTATACGGGAAGCACTGGCGGCAGAACAAAATTAGGCTAGCCCTCAGCCTGGGCTATGGGGACCTCTGGACAACACCATGTGGGAAAGGAAGATTAGAGCTAACTGCGTTCCGTCAAGGAAGGTTTCATAAAGAGCTTGTTGACCATCCACGATGATTCTGGTGCAGAGCAAACATTTTAGGTGGAGGAAAACGCATGATGTCAGAGGTGGCAGGAAAGAGGAAGAGCTCAGTGAGAAGTAAGAAGATGGGATGATAGGATTTTAGTCAGTCTGAGCTCTGAACCTGGCTTTATCGCCTCCTATGTAACCTTGGGCAGGTTTTCAACCTCTCGTTGTCTCAGTTTACAAATCTGCAGAACAAAGACAATGGTCATAGCTGTTTCCTGGTTGTTGTGACGATTACATGACACACAAATATTGCTAAATAAATGAAAGGCACTCGTATTAGTAGAGGCTGAAATGACCAGGACTTCAGTCTGGAAAGACAAAGGCCAAGAACAGGTATGTGGGACATCTGTGAAGCCATGCACCATACAGACATCCCAAGTAGGAATTTCTTTATAAGGCTGAGATTTTTAAGGCCGAGCATGAAGATTAAGGTTTGAGAGCAATGGGAGGAAGCACTTTTTTGCTTAGTAAAGACTCTGCATGTGGGACACATACTTCTTGGTGAAGTAGGAAGCCTCTCTTACTTAGCTTAGGTCTGGCTTGGTTTCAAATGACCTTTGTCCATGATCTTGGGAGCTGTCATTGGTCTCAGTTATTATATGTAGCTCTGAGAAAAATATCCTGACAGTGACTATTTTTTTTTTTTAAGAGTTTGTTTCTTTATTCATGAGAGACAGAGAAAGAGAGAGAGAGGCAGAGGCAGAGGCAGAGGGAGAGGGAGAAGCAGGCTCTCTGCTGAGCAGGGAACCTGATGCGGGACTCAATCCCAGGATCCCGGGATCATGACCCGAGCCGAAGGCAGATGTTCAACCATCTGAGCCACCCAGGCGCCCCCTGACAGTGACTATTTAATTTAAAGATTTAGCATCCAGTAAACGTTTCAAAGGACAATGATTAAGCAGCTTGAGACCCCACAGCTCAGTAAACCTGAGATCATGAAAAAATTAGTTTGCCTCTAACTGACATCAGGACTTGTAAACGACAGTCTTCTCCTGTTCTTTCTCCCTCCATTTTCCTCTTTACTCTTGTGAATTTCTCTTCTTCTGGGTTACTCTCCTGACCCTTTCTCCTCATATGCCTCCTTTATAACTTTCATTGTTTTTTTGTTCTTGTTCTTCCAGTTTCCATCTCTCCCCTCAAATCTCTATTAAGTAAAATCACAGTATGACGTATTTCAGAGTGTGTTACAGATTTTGAATAAAGATTTATGGTTCCTTAACTTATAGAACAGTATTTTACGATTAGTATTTTATATATTTTTCTTGAACAAAACTAAGGTAAGTACTTTTTACCTGAGTATACTTCAGGATTTCCTTGAAAAGTGTGGATCAATGAAATCACAGTAGAAAAAAGGTTCTCTTCATCCTATTCTAAAAGATTGTGGAGGCTAAAGTTAGAAATCCTCTCAGAAGGTTTAGATAAATCCATGGATAATGGATTCAGAGGGTTTACTAAGGGCAATTTGGGAATGTTCACCTTGAATCTCCACCCACAGAGGCCAATGGCATGGTGACGCTGACGAAATTTTGCCCCAACATTTCTTAGGAAGCACTGGTCAGGTCACATCCGTTCTTATGCTCTTACCATGAGTAACCAGGTCCCTCTGTACTTTCTAGAGGGTCGTACTGTCGTATAACAGGTGTATAATATTAAGTGGGCATTTTAAGTGCTGGGATTTCTGCCATCATTCTTGTTCTGCCAATCCATACTCTAGATTTTCCATATCTTATCTGTTCACCTGCCCATTTTGGATGCATCCTCCTGATGCTTATCACTTCAAAGAGCAAGGAGAGAAGTAGAAATACAAATGAAATCATCCTATTATCTTCCAACCCTTTTGGACAAAGAACAAAAGTGGATGGTCCAGGGTAGACCTTCAGTTTTCCTTGACTCCCTAAATCACAGCTAGACTGTAAGTCATTTGACTTCAGTAGCTAATTTTGGGAAATAATGAAACACTGTATAGTACTAATGCGGTCCATAGTCTAGTTGACCCCAACTTAACACATAGGGTTACCTTTTATACCTGGAAATTCAGCACAGGCACAACATGATTTGGAGTACATTTTTTCCCCATCCCCCCCCAAAGATTCATTTACTGAATTGGAGAGAGAGGGAGTGGGGCAAAGGGAGAGGAGAGAGGAGAAAGAGGCCCAGGCAAATTCCAAACAAAGCACAGAGCCTGATGCGGGGCTCAATGTGATGACCCTGAGATCATGACCCGAGCCAAGACTAAAAGTCGGACGCTTAATGACTGTGCCACCCAGATGCCCCTGGAGTACATTCTTGAAGGAAAAGAATGATTACAGAAAAAAAAACCAAACACCCCAGCTCTTAGCAACCCCCATTCGTGTTAAAGAAGCCATAGGTACTGAAGTGCATTATTTTCTGTCTCATGTTCAAATTTAATCTGTCAAAAGCCATTTGCTCTCAGTTTATAGAAATGGCTTATTTTAAGTATCTTTTGAAGCTTGGAGTTCTCCCAGAAAGACAGTGCTGTAGATAAATTATTCAATATATACCAAAGATGATGTGTAAGACAATAAGCCAAATGGGAGTTTATTGTTTTATTGTAGAGTTTTAAAACAAAATAAATATATCAGGGCGCCTGGGTGGCTCAGTCGTTAAGCGTCTGCCTTCGGCTCAGGTCATGAACCCAGGGTCCTGGGATCGAGCCCCGCATTGGGCTCCTGGCTCAACGGGAGGCCTGCTTCTCCCTCTCCCACTCCCCCTGCTTGTGTTCCCTCTCTCTCACTGTGTCTCTCTTTGTCAAGTAAATAAATAAAATCTTAAAAAAACAAAATAAATATAATAAATGTGACATTTTGCTTTAAACTACAGGATCTACTTCTAAACATGGATATTTTTTTAGTACGGCAAACCCTGTACTTAGTATGGCATTTAGGCTTTGCCTCTTTTATCCTAACTACACACAAGTTAGATTTTTAATGCCTGTCACCTCTACCAACCGGCCTCCAGAGCTGGCTACATGCCTCAGCCCTAGCAAGGAGATTTAGGTCTGCACATTGCAAATGAAGTGGACATGCAGAAATTGCAAACAAATGATCTGTGTGAGATTGGCCAAGTCCCCTGGAGATTTGGATTAGATCACCTCCATAGCCCCTCTCACCTCTCACATGTGATCATTCTCTTTCTAAAGCACCACTATTTTGCTAATTTCCATCACATCTGCAAACTAAACCAAGGACAAGTCACAACCGATCTTGTCATTTGGCTGAATGGCCGATAAACTTTTGTTGCTGAAGAAATGAAAAGTCAAATGAGAAGACTTTGAAAGCTATTGCACTGTTATATTCCAAGCATTTAGTTACTGAGAATAGACATTCTTTCTGGATAAAACTTTCCTTTCAAATCACCTGGATAACGATTTTAATTCTTCACATAAATGCAGAAATTCACAGGATCACATGGAGTTAAGATTGGGACTCCTCTCACTTGCATTAATAGGTACCAAAAACTGGTTGCATTGATACCTGTTTGTGAGAGGAAGTAAGGCAGTTGGAGACTTGCCTCAGTTATAACAACTTGTTCATGTTGTATCCTCTGAAGGGATATAATGGTATTAATGGGTGCTTTGTGGTGGAAAGAACATAGGACAGGGAACGAAAACACATGCTGGAAACCTCTGCGGGCTACTTAGACAAGCCAGTTCCCTCTCTGAGCTTTGGTTCCCTTCTCTGCAAAATGAGGTGCCCCACATTTGCTTTGCCTGCCTCACAAGGTTGTTAAGGATCAAACTAGATCATGCGCATGAAGCATCCTATAAAATGTAAACTGGGATAGAAATGAGGGAGATGTGTCTGGACAAAGCGTTTGGCCGGCATCAAGGGGAATAGAAAATACTTAGACTGTTTATCCCCCTTTTAGATACAATTTCATATCTGTTTTAAAGTCACTGACATTCAACACTCCATAAAAACACATGGAAACTTCTGTGCCTTGCACTGAAGGTGTGCAGGTACATTCTCTCTCTTCCCTCTTCCCTAACCCTCCTTCCTTCACAAATATATGCTGAAAGGTGAAAGTGAGTTACTAGCTCTTAACTACATAGCATCCCTGCTTTCTCTTCCTAGTGGGATATAACACATTAAACAAATGAAAAACCTGATCAGCAATAGAAAACGACATGGCGAACGTGATGATAAGAATTTTCAGGACAGAACCAGCTTATTTAAATTGACAGGAAGGAGGGCCCCTGGGTGGCTCAGTTGGTTAAATTGACAGGAAGGAAAAGCCCTGTGACAAACATTATTAGGAGCATGAATAATTTTCTACTTCCACAAAAAG